CATGGTATACCATGGAATATCCCACTTGTCACTTGTATATATTAGTTACACAATGCTTTCTCATGGTATACCATGGAATATCCCACTTGTCACTTTTCATTTTCTTGTGTACTCATTCGCCTAAAGACTTGAGTGCCTGTGATGGGATATTTCATGGTATACTACTCAAAACCATTGTATATAACTATTATCAACTTTTGGCAGCACAGCTTTTTCTATATGTGCGCTCCAAAGTTCTGGAAGGAAATCCCGTTGAACATAAAGATATCAACATCTGTTGACATTTTTTATTTAATTTTTATTGAATTTTTACGTTACGTTTTTTTCTTCTTTTTCACGTTTTTATAGTTTAATATTGACAATGACTTTTTAAGTACCTTAGGAATCTCAATCACATATATATTTTTTCTTTTATTTGTAAAAAGCATTGAGAGTTTTAAATGCATTGTTTTAAGAAATAAAGTATCATTATTATTATAGCTATTACCATTATTATTATATATAGATGTCAAGTTGTCTAAAAAATATGTGGCCCCCTAAGTCCTGCGATCCCCGTGCGCCCCCACGATACCCTGAAAGTCCTGAAACAACCTTCCTCAATTCCTTAAAGATAGAACGACTATTTTATCCCTCGCTAGCTGTCCCATGTCAAGACAGACTTCGGTAACAACAACATGTTTGCGAGATACTTTTGTAGTTTTGAAGAAAATCTTCCAATTTTTACGATACCCTGAAAGTCCTGAAACAACCTTCCTCAATTCCTTAAAGATAGAACGACTATTTTATCCCTCGCTAGCTGTCCCATGTCAAGACAAACATCGATAACAACAACATGTTTGCGTGATAATTCATAGTTTTGAGCTTCTATTTATTGACTTACCGTACATCACATAGGACAAGTCTTGTAGCAGTACTTAGAACTTGTGGATTCCAGATTTTTCATCGGTTATTTTCAAGGTTAAATGGTTTATAAATGCGTTTAATCTTGATACCAATCAAAGCTGATATACTATCGATATCTTATGTAATAAGTAACCAAGATAACATCTATCGTTTAAGAGGGGATCATGTGACAGATGTCAACATTTCAGCTCACACCTAAAGTGGAAAGGGCTTCAAATTGTCAATTTTTGAAGCTAATCACCTTGGAGTTGGGATTATAATGGAACAGGTTTAAACTTATCTGAGTTTTCACTTGGAAGTACGTTGCAATAATCTTACGTAAAAACACCAAACAACTCAGCTAAGACAATTCTATGACAACAAAATAACATGTAAACTATGTGTTATCCAAGTTGTTTTTTAATTAGAAGATTGGCTTAACGGGAGATATATCCACCACTGTCCGAGATGGAGATAATATCAACCTTTTATGTGGCTAGCTTTAAAAATAGAATCTTTACAAAAAAACTAGTGACAAAAAGTTACGACGTTTCGACCTCGTATATATTTTGAAGAAAATATCCCGATAGTTTAAATTTGGACTTCAAAACTCTTTAAACCAAACCAGAGATATATATATTACTGAGGCTAGGAAGACTTTTTGTCAACTTTATTTGCATGAACTTTTGTACTTTACTAATCTTTGGCGCTTATTTTAATGAGCGAAAATAATTTTCACTCGCTTACGAACCTTTTTAGTTCGCTCATATATGAAATGCGTTCAGTCTCTTCGATGAGTCTATTTTAACGAAAGCTAAATTCATAAAGGGAATGATGATTTGAGGGCCATGGCCTTGGTAAGTCCCAGAAACGATTATGACTATCATGATCTAATCAGTTTTGGCGGGGGGTACAATTGTTGTACCGACGCTTTGTTCTGGATATTATTATTGGTTGTGGGAGTCCAACACGTACTAGGAAGGGAATTGGTTTATTATCAGTTCTTTGTCCAGAAATTGAAAAAAAAAAGTCGAATATTCTTTGTTTTGGTTGTTTTATCTTAGTTTGTTTTTTTCCTTTTTTTTCCTTTTTTTTTTTTTTTCGTTCGTTCGTTTGTTTTTTTGTTTGCTTCTTTCTTTCTCAGTACTTGTGTTTTTGTCTGTCTGTCTGTCTTTCCTTCCTTCCTTCCTTTCTTATCTTAGTTTGTTTTTTTCCTTTTTCCTCCTTTCTTCCTTCCTTCCTGCCTGACTGCCTTCCTTCCTTCCTTCCTTCCTTCCTTCCTTCCTTCCTTTCTTCCTCCTTCCTGCCTGCCTACCTGCATGCCTTCCTTCCTTCCTTCTTTCTTTCTTTCTTTCTTTCTCATTTCCTTGTTTTATCTCTTTTTAATCTGATATTTCAAAAGGATTTCAAAGTATCTGAGAATGAACATCAAGATAGCACTACAAATATTATATTTTGTGTTTGGCGCTTTAATATCTTAAAATTCTTCTATCATTTTTAAAATACTGATTTTATCGATTTATTAGCTGAATCATTTTAGAAACCGACCTTCATCATTAATGTTAATCTAAAGCTATAGTAATATATAACATTGATTTCTGCCTCTCTAATGATATTTATTTTCTTTATTAATTTATAATTTATCACATAAGTATAATAGTGAATGCATTTCAATTCTGCACCAGTTTCATTACACTAAGCTTGCACCTGATTTTACATGAGCTGAAGTCACGTGTCGAGACACTGAAATGGTTTTCGAATTCAAGCCCTACTGATTGGCTGTTGTGTATTTTCATGGTCTTTGATTGGTTAATTAAGGTTGGCGATCACATAGTAGACTAACATTTCTGTATTCAATGAAAAGCTTTTTAAAGCAAGAAAAACTAGTTCACTAATTGGGACCGCTTTTATGAAGTTAACCATGTAGTCCAGTGTGGTGTCCACGCTGTACTTTCTACCAACAAATCTTCCGTCAAGAGACGAAAAATTATTTTTGCCTATGACGTCAAACTTTAAAGCTTCCTACCTCTTCCTTTCCTCCCCTCCCCCTATCCCCAGGCCCCCAACCCCTCCCCCTCCCTCTCTAGGCACTCCGCCAAGGCCTGATACTTAGGTTATTAAAGCTTTAAATACTAAAGCAAATGCTACGTAATGCTAACGTCAGGATAAGTTACTATATAAGTTTAGCTTACTATGCTTGTAGGAATGAAAAAAAGCTCAATAGTACCTTTCACAGTTACCGGCGCCATCTTGAAAGGTAGCCGTGCCTCTGCATCGAAGCGAGACGAACGGTGAGCTTGCAATGATAGAGACATGTGAATAATTGTCCAAGGTGTTAAAAAAAGGTCTCTATCATTGCAAGCTCACCGTTCGTCTCGCTTCGATGCAAAGGCTCGGCTACCTTTCAAGATGGCGCAGGGAACTGTGAAGGGGACTATTGTGAAGCTTTAAGCCTGGTTGCCTCTTATACACTTCCCATTATAATTTTATACCAGCTTTTTTTTTTTGAAGAAGAAGAAGTTGATAATCACTTTTGATGCTTTCGAATCGAATCGAAATATGGCGACCAAATTGAAGAACTATTTTTCTGGACTGACTTGCCTCTCATACTAATATACATGTGAAAATACTTTTATGTTTAGACTTGGACACGAGGCTAGTCAGTCCTAAACAATTGATGGGTTGCAAGCATTCCCAAGAGAGTTAAAAGACAAAAGCATGGCGGCCATTGTGGTGCCGTTAACAATGGATGCTAATAAGAAATCTTTTGTTAAATGGCACCAACATGGCCGCTTTGACGTAACGTGCAATCGAAGAATAGTTGCTCAAATTGGTCACCATATATCGATTCGATGTATGYGATACGTATTTTAGTGTGTTAGCAGCTCTAAGCAGTTTACCTATGTTCGTTGGTGCTTATCGGAACTTAAGGTTAAATAGAATACCCCCTGAATATATCAAAGTCATCAATAGACTCTTATTATGGGAATAATGATTTTTTTTTTYCATTTCTGACTGCGTGTTTGATCCCTAGAGTGTTATGAGTTAGATACCACGCGATAGAATAATATTTGGTTAATATAACTAATAGTACATGACGGGCAGTGTTTGAATTTCATTATACGCTGGTAATGAGATTCATGAGATTCATTCAGTTGATTTATACCAAGCAATAGAATATTCTCTGGTTGATAACACATGACGGGCAGTGTTTKCCTGTCATTGTAGGCAGGTAATGAGATTCATTCAGCTGATTGATACCAAGCAATAGAATACTCTCTGGTTGATAGCACATGACGGGCAGTGTTTTCCTGTCATAATAGGCAGGTAATGAGATTCAATTAGCAGTACGTACTTCTTCTATATATTTCATTTAATATGTTGCGTCAAAACTCGAGAATGTTGTTCAACTTATGGCATGAAATTGGAGCGAGAATRTTTTCTTTTTTTCTCGTTGACTTTGAATGTATTCTATCTATTTCCATCCTCGGTTTCATACCAAGGCTTGGTTACTTTTCAAGATGGCGCAGATAGACGAATGCTGATTGGATGCTTGATCTGTCAATCACAAAAGCCACCTATATGTAAGAAGTTGTTTTTAAGAGCTTGAATCGATGTTGTTTTTGAGTTCTTGGAGCTCAATATCCTTTCCTCCACTAGTCTGTCCATTCGTAGACTTGATGGTGCTGCATCGCGTTGTATGTGAGTAGAGTCTGACGGTCTTGTATGTTTGACTATTACACGGGGACGAACATAAGTCTTTGATATTACGACGATAATCTTTATTAAACACAAAATAGATCCAGGGATTGATAGCACTGTTTGAATGTCCCAACAGAAGCCCAAGAAATAGCATCAATGGTGATATYTCACAGCTATGAATACCGTACTTGAAGTTGACCATCATGAGGTAGATGTGGAATGGAAGCCAACAAAGTGCAAAGGCTACCACCACTGTAATCAACATCTTAAGCACGCGTCTCTTAGCAACGTCCTCGAGTCTCTGATTGGCCACTGTGACATTTCCTGGTACGTGTCGTATCCATACTTTGTGAATAACACACGAGTAGAGATAAGTGATAAGAACAAGGGGAATTACGTACATTAAAATGAAAAGAGCAAGGGTGTAATACTTAGGGGCGTCTACATTGTTCTTGCTGTCTAACGGCTCGTCCCATTGCCATTTTTCGATGCAGTGGTACTGGCCTTCCACTTCAAGTATCCGCATTGCATAGAGCACAGGAGAACATATTGCACACGARCACAGCCATATAAAGGCAATAAGAACCTTGGTCTTGGTAGCATTTAGAGGGCTTTTCAGCGGAAACATGATAGCAAAGTATCTGTTAAATGCAATAGCTGTCATGGATAGTATGCAACAGTTCTGGGAAACACCACTTACAAAGCTCACAATTTTGCAAAGMAATTCTCCAAAAATTCCACCAAACCAGATTGTAGGAAGGTGATTGGCGGCCCGCACAAAGTACCTCACCATCATCGGCATGTTTATCACTGCGATCAGTAAATCCGCGACCGCGACGTTTACGATCAAAAGATTCACTTCGGTTCTCATTCGTTGGCTTGTCGTGAAGACTCGGATCACAATGATATTGCCGATCAAGGCTGTGATGGCAAGGATKATGTATGTTACTGCCTTAACCCATTCAGCGGTCGCGTTGATGGGAGGATCGGTACACATTGCTTCAGCAGTCGTGTTGTTTGTATTGTCCATGGCACGACGATACAAGACCTTTTGACGGGGTTCTTTTTTTCCACGTACCTACGAATATAAGTACAGTGGTTTGAATATTAGAATTTCATTTTGAAATAGATCTAGAGCCTTTGCAACATCACGTGACGGCAGCCATGTTAGATGACAGAAACAATACAATCGTTTTACRTAAGAAAGAATTCAATTCCCAARAGCAAAGGGATTTTATTGTTCTGCCATCTAACCACAGGCAGYCCAAGCTGTGTTATGGGAACGGAGCCGGCACGATGCAAAGCCTCTATTCCAGGAACAAACATGAGGTCAACATTGAAGGAAAAAAGTTATACAAGGCGTCTGTTCGRGCATGCGCAAGGCAGATATGAATACCAATCGTATTTGCCATTCCGAGGTTGAGGAAGCGACTGGGTCGAGTTGGCATTGCAGTGCATTGTGGGGCGGTTTTAGGGGTTTCCAAGATGGCGTCTATTTTTTTTCCCCAAGATGGCTTCTATTTCCTTTTATCCCAAGATGGCGTCTATTTTCGTTTTTCAAGATGGCGTCTATTTTCGTCTCTAAAACAGCCCCAAAATGCATTGCATTGCCAACTCGACAAATTCCGAATGCTAATATACATATGAATCTCCCATCGAATTTGATGCTAATGATCCAAACCGGATTATTCTTGTAGCGTGAAATTAATAGCCAAAAATTCATTCCATTTCCAAGCTTTCTAGCTTTTTTTTCGCCTTTTCTTCTCTTCTACTCAGTAATACCCTATTAATAGCGCTACTGTCATTACTAAAACATCTTCTATGCGATATCTTACACTATCGACACGAGCGATTCATCAAAAAAAAAACAGAGCAACAAAATTGATGAACGTCAAAAACGAGGTCAAATTTAGCATACCTGAAGAGCAATAACTCAGCTTTTTTAACTAATGGACTGGGCATTTATATCAACGATGAAAATCAATAACAAGTACCAAGAATAAAAGAGGCATGATATATATGACGTGCGTTTAGGAGGCGATTTCTAAGCCAGACTTCATGGGAGAGCTACCTTTYGTAACGATGTTAACATTACCGTAGAAATTCTATTGAATATGGGCTTCTAATATGAATTTGTACAGACTTTAGTCTTAATAACCTTGGTTTTTACTCATTGACGCTATATTGATAATTACTAAGCTGCAATATCTTACCAGATTCTTTGACTTAAGCACGTTTATTACAAAAATATTTATAATTCTATTCAAAGAAAAAAATAAGCTCAAGTTTATAATAATGACGTGATTGACGTTAAAGAACGATTCTTTAGTTTCAAATAGGATTTTTATTAGGAGATGTCAAATCTTTTGGAGATTTTTGCTATTACGTTTCGACCAACATTTCGTAATAAATGACTTGATATTGTAGTGCAATGTTATAGATAAAGATTTAGAAATATTCTTAGTCACCTGAATAAGAAAAAATCCTATGACATTTTCCGCGACAGAAAATCCCATGAATTTTCCCCGCCCATTAATGAAATAGACAATAAATAATCTTAGCGTACCGCGGGAATATAAATTCATTAAAACACTCTAGGTTGAAAAGCGTATAAATCGTGGCGCACTTACGCCAACCATGAAGAAGTGCCAAAATCATTAAAGCTTAGCTTAAAAAAARCTCAATTCATTTTTGAATTGATTATCACCTGAAATAACGACATCATCTTAATATACTATAATAGATATATTTCCTTTACTTTAGATTTCTGCCTTTTAAATTAAACTAATTGGATTGAAGGCCGGCTGGTATTTCATGGATGACAGAAGTACACTTTGCGCCGGAATMGTTACGTAGAAGAGAAACGATTTCTGTGGGAAGTTTTCACTTGCTTTCAATCTGGCCCGGAGATGGATACCCTCGAAGTGCTGACATAAACATTGCAATTTCAATGTATAAAAACCAGTATTCTACCTAATGTAGTTTTAATAAACTTGTATGTTTGTTTTTTTCTAAAAGTGTGTACTTTTTTTTACTGCGGCAACTAGTTTTTTYCACACTTCATATTCCGCTCGTATATTCATTATTTAACGCCGTAAATAACTTATGAGAAAAGTGCTCCAACCGACCCCCGGGCTAAAACAAATTATAGGAATAGAGTATATCTATGCTATAGTTTGTGTCCTACAATTGACRGATCATCAGTATTTAGTATTATCTCGTACTACTGTTTGGCGTAATTAATGTTGTTAGAAATAAAGACTCTGCTAATAACATAGTCAAGTCAAAACAGAAGTTGGGTTTTAAGCGTTTGCGAAAAGAATTCCTATTTTTCCAATCTTACTGGCTACTTCCCAAAAAAAACATTCAAAAATATACTTTACAATACATATAATATTGTATTCAGTGAAAACAAAGTTCCACTTTTTTGCCTCCTCTCTCAGAGCGCAAGAGARTTTGATTGTGTTTGAAGAAAGACTTCTGAAGTTCGTATTCGTACTTCAACCAGAAAAATATGCAAATCTACAGTTTTCTAGAAATTTTGAATAGAAGTTTCAACGACTGCAGACAAAAAATATATAATATACCTATTTGAATAAACGCTGTCGGTRGGASATCGGAAATCTGGCTGACGGAGTAGCAACGCTGCAAAATGTAATATATTCAAYGTAGTTCCTTTTAGATTGGAATATATATGAAGCATAACTTTGAGTTAGAAATGGTTTTTCTCGTATTTGAGCCAGAAGACATAAAAGCACAAATATTTAGTCTCAAATCGCCCTTTTCAGAACTCCGACCGACAACTTTTTTTTGAAATTTAGGTGACTGAGACTAAGCTGCGAAGCTTCTACGGCATCAAAGCGCACATCCAAGGACGTTGACTGCACGAAAATATATCTATCTTCACTACTGTTAAAAAACTTACGATATATACTAATTTTTTWATATATATATTGAAGATTACTTTTAACCATTTTCTATGAATATCCACATGTTGTATATTCTGACCTTTTAGTTTTATTCTAGTTTAGATAAGTGTGCTGGTATACTGATGGTATTATACAGACTAAGCGACTGCTTCAGGCGCAAGAAAKTCAGATTGAGCGGTTGACATTGGGCAATACTTGAGAAAGGATTTCCGTTCCTGTCTATTGATCTTTATCAACGTGTTCACTTATTCCCTCTTGTATCCCTTCCTTCCTTCCTTCCATTTTTTTAAACATTTCTCTTTTTCTTCTTTTTTGATTTGATTTTTTTTCTGTCTTTTTTCTTTTTTTCTTTTCTTTTCTTTTTCTTTTTTTCTTTTTCTTTCTAGTTTCTCTAAACTCGGTATATTGGGGTACAAGGTTAGCGTTAGTATTCCTGAATCTTTATTGTGCAAGGTAGAGATCGATAATGTTTTACTTCGTTGTAAGTCAAACAAATCATTGAGTGTTATTCATTCCTTGCTATCTTGTCTCTCTCAGTTACCTAGATATAACTGTCATTTTGATCTGTTCTGTACAATCAATCGACAATCGATTCGAAGCTAGTAAAATATGAATTGATAGGCGACAACGAAGATGTTAAGATAAAAAGAAGGAAACGTTCGTCAGATTGAATGCTTTTCGAGCGGCGGTAATTCTCAACTTTTGCATATCCAAAAAAACGGCCATTTACATCCATCAAATATCTTGCTCCACGGCATCGTGACGAAAACCAGTTTTGGACGATAAGCAAAATAATTCCAGTCGTACTTTTAGACCGTGCATACCAGCGATCATTCTTGGTTTGAGTTGAAGCTGTGATCTAAATCTTCCAATAAGCCTTTTTTTTTACATATGAACTTTTTATACTTGAACAAAACTAGGAACTGATAGATCGGTTTTGACAACAARCTTGTTTTATTATGATATTCGGAGAACTTCTCTTTTTTTTATTTGAGGGATTTTATTTATTTATTTTAGAGTATACTTGGAACGGTTTTCATGTATAAAGGGTCTATTTCTTTTGCAAATATATATTCGTATATGGTTATTTTGATACGTAATATAAGAAAGCAAAAGGAAAGAATATATGATAATAGTGCAAGATTTAATTTGAAAAAAAAAAACATGAATTAATGCATCGTTTCCAGTATTGATATTTCTGGAACTCACTAAAATTTTGCTGAGCAGTTCAAATCATTACGCTCCACTACAAAGGTTAAAAGAAAGAAAGAAAGAGTCTTAACAAATACTTACACGTAATTTTACGGCCAAAATCAATATRTAATTAGATTCCTGTTTCTGTTCCTTCTTTGCTCATGAACCCTGCAAGACAAAACATTAAAAAAACGATAAAAGTTAAGAATTAACTGAAATCTTTGAGAAAATCCTGAAAAGATAAAGAATCCATGAAATCAAAATTGCTCRAGTCTTTTTTCAACCTAGAATGCGGTATAAGGTGTTGTTGACGGCTGATTTTGGATGTTGTAAGCTTCAGAATGAAGTTTTAAAGTTGATCTAAAGTACCAAGCGTTCTCTATCACGTTCAAAAAAAAAATCACACCAAAAAATCCTGACATCAGCTTTCAAGTCATCACTCTTRCATCTGGTCGCCTGGCAACGAGCATTACATTCAAAGCTGAATGAAAGCCAAGCCGTCAAAAAATCGTCACTCTTCTTTTGCTTGCAATGGAAAACCGATTGTAAAGTAGATTAATAATATTAAAATACATGGACATTTTTATTCARGAAATGGTACGATATGTGTGTGCACAAGCACTTGATTTTTTCCGGTGTTTGTAGAGTTTTAAAAATTGACTTTAATWAAGATAAATTCCAAGAACTTCATCGAGGAGACTTCTAATGTCCTAATCGTTATTTCAGCCATGCAATAAGACCTCGTTTTTAAAGCCAAGATTGGTAATATTTATGTTCAAGCAACGTTTTCTAGATGTTTGAAAAGATATATAAACCTAAGAGGTTTGTAATGAGCGATATGTAACTAATGAGACTGCAAATGTCAATTTTTGTTGTTAAGAGCAAAAGTATTAATTTCACAGAATATGAAAATATAGACTATTTTTTAAAATACCATTCAAAGTGATTTGTGTTAGAGAAGCATAAGTGACGATTTGCTGTACGTTATTACTATATACGTCCGTCCTTGGTGAACTACATTTCCAGACAAAATTCAAAAGTAGCTTTATTGGATTTTTCGTTTTGTCTTGAATGGTTGTTTGCTTTTCATTTTGTCGCCGAAGATTATATTTTTTTAGTTTACTTTATAGCTCAGCAAGCAGGTTTGTTTATATTATTGTATTATTAAAGAATGATGTACTGCTCTAGCAGTTCACTTATTCTAAGCTTGTATTCTATATAGTCATGCATTCTGAGTGTTTTAGAGAAAGTTCAATATCAATAACAAAAGACTTAAAACCCATTGTAAATAAATTGATCGGCGATAAAGAGTGTGCTCTCAATTCTTTTTTGGAATATGATTTTAATGAAAGCAAATGGAGAATACTTTTGACGGGTCTGTGGTAATAAAAATAATCCTCGGCCAGTTGAAAACATCTGGGAAAATTGAAGGAGATTTGAGTTCTAGTCAAATTAAACGTGGGAATATTTTGAACAGCATAAGAAAAAATATCATTGATGAAAAGAGATATTTTGTATTTTTTAAGTAAAGTAAGTCGGTTCCACATTAAAGTCGGGCAGGTTGTTGCAATAGTAAACACAAACACATTTTGGTACGAAATTTGTTTTTTATAAGATTTAAAATGAAATCCCTTACAACCAACAAGGAAGTGATTGACTTAGAAACAATATATATTCATCGTAGACGGCAAAAATACAGAGCACAAAATTCCGTATACTGAAAAGCAAGTTTGGTGTTTTTTCTCCAATTTTTGTGATACAACAAATGAAGTTAAAAATGAATAAAAATTAGTGAACGATAGAATGATATGCACTTTACAGCCCGCGTAACACGTAAAAAGAAATGAATCATAAATTAAATCAATTGTTTTGAATATTTTCTTTAAATCTAGGAAATAAATACTTACTTTAGTGTTAGTTCGAAGCCCTAAAAACAGGTTTAGAGATCGACCGCGAAATGTTATTTCATTATAACCTGTATTACTTTAATGAGCTGTCTGAGGTCTTGTGTGGGTTTTTGAATAGAAGTATGTTATTTACTTTGAGGTTCCTTAAAATGTTATCAATGATTTAATGATTGAAAACCACGCCGAAAAACAGGTTGGATTTTAATTTGAATGCGTTGAAATGCCATAAATTGGTATACGGCAGTCTAAGTCGAAAATGATACACTAGAGTCAAAGATATTTCATTGTARTTGAATCAGCTTCTTATGATACTGAGTGAGACAGATTCCGGAAATGGAGAAAGGCCAGATCACGGAATAAAATAAAGGGACAAACTGAAAGAATGAAAACACAAAAGGATAAAGTGTTGAGAGCCGGCACGCTTCGCGACATCGCCATACTGATGAGTGACTATAAATCAGAGAGAATGCGTTAATGCAGAAGGAAGTAATATCGACAAAGGCAAATCTTATCCAAGAAATCCGATATCGTTAAAGAAAAAGGGAGTAGAATTAGAATGAAACTGGAGGAAAGATAAATAGATCCGAGCCGAATCATCCGCGTCTACAAAACAAACTCCCAAAATAATACCTATAATTAGACTTTTTGCTTTGATTTGATGTATTAAGAAAAGAACCTTGCTTACTGGGTACTGACCCAGTCGATCTTTCTCTCATTAAAACACACACTGTCATTCTCTCTTGTTTCATGATTAGAACTATTACCTTTGAGTAGAGTAACTGGAAAACTACTTAGAGATAGAGAGGTTTTATCAGGGAGGATTCTAATGGACAAATCGAACAGCACAATGAACTTGGGGTTGGTCTGATGGAAAATAAAATTCTTGAACTGACCAAGAATAAAGGTGCTTATTTAATGGAGTTGAAAGCACACATTAAAAAACATGAATTGAGATGATCCAATGATTCTTTGAAACTAGCGCTCAGCTTACTAAGAACCATCTCCTTATCAGATCTAGAAAGCTTTACTATTCGCCTTACCTTCTGTACATTCAATTTTGGCACTAAAGAATATGATTCGCAAATGAACACAGAACTCACCTTAGTATATATTGACTTCAGTATGTTCGCTTTAGATTTTCTCCCTCAAAGATGGTTTGGAATCAATGTGTCCACACGATAGATCTCATGTGAAATTAAATTCACTTGCTATGATCTTTGGCTTTTTTTCTTTTTCGTAGGTCACGTCTTATTGGTTAAAAGTATTTCTAACCTTGAATTCTGATTGGTCGTCTGTCTTCCGGCGACGCTCCCACAAAATCCCGCCGAAAGCCTCTAAATGCAATTATTTATTTACTCGATTCTGGTTGGTCGAGAGGCATTTTAATCCGTTCTGAAGGCATAAACAGGGTTTTTATGTGTCATTTTTGATAGTTTTCCATGTTTTGTGTATATTTACCCAAAGAATAACAAGTAGTTTTTGTAAAAAATATATCTTGTTCACCTCAACAGCTTTTAATTCTTATTYGTCAAAATGAAACATTTAATATGAGATTTAAGACCGAATAGATCTTGGTCTTTCGACAACTTGTATCAACAAACATGGCCTCAAATGAAAACCTTAAAAGCATAATATTTTAAAATAAGAAACAATTTTCATAGCTTTTATTCCAAATGAAGCTTTTGTTGTTCTTTAAGTTCCAAGGGGAAGTGGTTCTTTATCACATTGCTTTAGAAAACCAATAATACAATTTAAGACAAAACTTACAGACTTTGAACTGGCCGGCAGAAAAAGCGGCCGATAAGGAATAGATTACAAGGAATAAAAGTATACTTGGTCAACAGGGTGGGTAAAAAACTGCCCTCCATCTAATCACACACATTCTCATATATCATGAAGAGGATTCTTTAGTTGTGTAGTTTTGATTGTATAAATTTTAAGCCTTTTTTTTTGTATTTTTGATTTTTGAATATCGTGAAATAGCGCTAGCGTTTCGCTGTGTATATTCTTTTTAATATTGTCGTGTTTATCATATCTGAACTAAATGTTATTTTCTATTTATTTCATTTATAAGATGAAAGATTTTCAGAAAGTTTCGATTGACTCTTTCTTCCTAAATGATCAAACATTGAAAATCTTGTCTCTAGAATTGCATTTGAAAATATATAGTGTAGTCTTAATAGCAGTCGTACATTTTGGTTTCTCAATTAATGATGAATTCACACTTACCTAATAAAATGTAATGCTTTCCTAGCCCTCCGGTCCCCATTTACCTACAGATTTGCTCTAAATCATTTTGAATTAAATCAAATCAAGTTGATTACCGAGAAATGCCAAAGGACAGCCAAATGGTCTCCATCCAAATACGCTAAATTGCTTCTTAGAAAAAGAATATACAGAAACTATTCTAAACTTAAAGTTAAATACCGAATATCCTGGGAATTAGCTCCACACATTTTCAATATACGTTCGTCGCAGGTCCCTAACGTGTGGGAATTAGGTCCAAGAGATTTAATTAATATCATAGCTTATGCTTAACTTTCTTTTTTTTTTAAAAACCAGCTTAGGTTATTAGAGATGAAAATTAAGGACAAAAAAGATTTGCAGTACTCGCATCAAAAACACTATTATTTTATCGGAATAAGTTTCTAACTTAGAAAGTCCAACATTTTTTGGTAGGCTATTCTCATTTAAATCATGAGAGCACATCTTATCTTGCTAATCGTATCTCATATAGTCGTCCTTTGATCCATAAAAACATGCAGAGTCAATTCGAATGAGCATTAAGCTAGGTAACGGTGCATTTCCCAAGGAATTATGTYCTCGATCGCATTAATCGACTTTCTAGAAACCTACTCAAGGCTATTAGGTAGAAACTCAAGATTTGAAGATTCATTTGCGCATGCGCACGGACTTCTACGGCACGAGTCTTTGAGCACATATTTTCAATTCTAGTCTTAGCGCGAATTTCCGAGAAAGTTTATTAGATTAGTAAATACGTTGATAAATGTTGCTGTGCTAAAGGAAGTTAGAATAATATGCAATAAGCCTAATTACACGTACGTACCAAGATTAATAGCTAAGATTGGTAGCTGAGTTAGCGAGGAAAATTTGTTTTTCAAGAAGTATTTCGATTTTTCTAGAAAAGAWTTCTCCAGAATATTCTTAGTTATTAGACATACTTTTCTTACTTAACGGCTGTGACGTACTGGCACGTAGGAGGGTAAGTATTGCCCTTTTTTTGTAAGGTATTTTTGCTTT